GAGAGAGAGAGAGAGAGAGAGAGAGAGAGAGAGAGAGAGAGAGAGAGGGGATTCTTGGTCCACCCTGGGTTTCTCCACCCATAAAATAGACTTACATTTCATGTGTGTTCATGACTGCTGTTATTAGGCCAAGCTCATCAGCTGGAAATGTAGTCCCCTCCCCTAGTGTGAGGTTTAGGGGTCACAGGGTCAGGTGAGCCTGGCTTCATCTTGGTGCCTCCTTTTGAGTGCCCTCAGCATGGAGATCTGAAGTACAAAAACATAGTAAGGAACAGGGAAACTTGTTTTTGTCCAAATAAGCTCAGGAGGTGGCAGAGTCAGGAGTCACACCCAGGCCCTATGACTGAAGGTAGTCACATTGCAATCAGAGTATCTGCTCTCGAGCTACTGCTCCAGCAGAGGGCAGCAACCTGGTATCTGCCGAGTGACTTATCTCTCATGGTTCTGTGTTGTTCATTTCAACAGGGACTACGTGGACCACCTGGGCTACCTGGTCCCTTAGGAACCAAGGTGAGTGCTTGTCTAAGCAAATTGGAGATGGTATGCATGACCACTTAGAGAATATATACATTTTTTGTTGTAAGCATCTCTCGCCATCTCAAACCCTCCCACATTTCTCATACAGGAAATCTTGAGATTGTGAAGTATTATCCACAGCACTGCTTCTTAAACACTGATTAAATTATTAGAGTTACTGTCTTTCACCTGGCCCATCCGAGTCCTAAGTCTTCTCTTGTTACTGGTGAAGTTTTGGTAGCAGATGATCCTTAAATTTTTAGATAATAGGGGTCTAGAAGCCCTGTGGGGTTTGTGTGTGTGTGTGTTGGAATGGGGTCCTGGTCTAGTCAGGAATGGCAATACTATCCTGGTATTGTTCTATCTTTTCCCAAAGCCCTGGCACGCATGGTGAGTCGGGGTTAGGGAGGGAAGAAAATATTGGGAAAATGTCTTGGGCCAACATTGGAAACTGGTTTTTATGTCTACCCGCCAAATTCTAGTGATGTTCATGGCAAGAAAGACCAGAGACTATCATCTAGTTTCGTACCCAAGAGGAAGGAGGAAATGGATGAACACCAGCCAAACTGTCAATTCACCAGTAACTACAGGCTTAAAAAGACAATTTCCCCTTGAGTAAGCAGGGGAATAGTCTAAGCTCTCCCTACACAGAATCCCCCTTCATTTACTCAAGCTTGCACGAATGGCCAGTACCTTATTATTTCAATTGTGGCACATCTACAGGGTCAACTCTAGGACATAATATTGTTGGCGGTACATTCCTTGGCCTCTTTCAGCTCATGGATCAGGGGACGAATGGATGGAAGTGTAAACTCAAAGTAGGCAAGTTTTAGAGAAGGGGATGTGAGGGCTGAGGGAGTTCAGGGAGGCTCTAAACCTGGTTTGGTTGTGCACAGCTTCTTAGAGCCTGAGGTTATCTGTCCTCATTTGAAATTGCATGAAGCAGTAATGTGGGAAAAGGAAAGTGTTATTGTAGGCCTTGGTGAGAGGTTGCAGGGGACACTGAGGCATGGGCTGCCTTAAATTAAACTGTAGCCATACTGTAAGAATTAGGATGCCAACTCAGATACATGGACTTGAGAGGATTTGAGCCAGAGTCACTCGATGATGTTAGGTCGGGGGCTCGGACATTTAACAAGATATGGATATTTGAATTACATAAAGATCTTATTATAAAATCGCTTCTTACCACTTGTGCCTATTTATAAAAATGATTTTCTTAAATTTATAAAAAACAGTTTCCTTAAAAAGTCCTTCTTGCCAGTATTGATACATACCTGTAATCCTAACCTTGAGAGGTAGAGATAGATTTTAGGTTTGATTTAAGATAGGAAGATTTTAAGTTTGAGGCTAGACTGGGTTGTGAGGTTGGATCCAGGACAGCCTAGGCTACAGAGTAAGTGTCTCTTGAACAAAAACAGCTTAAAAACATGAAGAACATATTCTTATGGATCTTCTACACTGTGGTCTTGTCATCCAGCAAGTTGCCTTGAAACTGCTAGCACTTTCTGAAGCACACTACTTCCCATCCCAGATGGTTATTTTAGGCTTCCATATACGTTGCTATGACTTGGAAGTTTATTCCCAGCCTTAGTGTCCAATCACCTGATGGGAGACCATTCCCCCATTTGTTTCTTTTACATGGTAGTTGTATCTTCGGGATCTCAGCCACCTGAATATAGAGTGAATTGAATTTAAAATCCTATATGAAAATCTCATCCAACAAATATCATGGCATAAGGAAGTTTGAGGTTCTTCCATAGATGTTGACAGTAGCCAGACAGAGATCTCAGCTTCATAATTTTCTCCCTATTCAAGCAGGTGTTCTCCATCACTATCCTAAACCTGCAGTAAGTGGGAATTGTAGTATATACTAATTTGCTTGCAGTGTGGTGATTTGATTGCATTACCCATGATCAAAGATTTTCCTAAATGAGAGAATTATCTAAATGGTAGGAGTAAATGTGTGTCAACTGTGTATTTGCTGCATGGGGGAGGGGGAGGAGTCATTGCATAAGGGAGGCTCTCGGTTATTGGTGAGCCTTGTCCAGATTCATTTTCAGTATCCAAGTACTCTTACCCTTCCCTCTGGAGAAGGACGTTCAGGACCCAGAGGACACTGATTACCTTTTAGAAGCAAAAGCATGGTGTCAGATGTGGCAGAAGTAAAGAGCTTGACTTGTCTCATTTTCCACTGTAATTACATAAGACCTTTATCTGACAATGGGAGATACTATACATTCTTGTTATTCTGCAGTTGTATATCGGGATCTTATCAATAAAACCATAAATATATTCTCTTTTTACTTCCAAGTAGAATGTTTTGGGGGGAGGACATGTTACTATATCTATAACAAATAGTTTCCCAGTGTAGGGGTTGCCACTTATACCTTTTCAAAACAACAACAACAACAACAACAACAGCAACAACAACAAAAACCATTGGCATACTGTAGTTTCCACTTTACTGTTGCAACAGGAAGGTGTTAACCTAGGTAGCTTATATCTGATCTATACACATTCTGTTGGAGAAAAGTCCCATGGGAACCAGTGCAAGCATCAGCAAATAGAGAGAGCTAGGCTTCGATTCCTGACCCAGTGTTGCTGAGCAGTTTCAACAGCATGGGGCTCAGGTAAGTCATGCTGCCCCTGGACCATCCTTTCCCCTTGGATAGACACTTATTCCACTGCTAATAATATATGAATGTGTCAGTTACAGAGTGGTTCATCAAGACATTTAGAAAGTAAATTGAGATTCAAGGACATCTTTATTTGGAGAATGGGTTGCTCAGTGGGAGCATAGAGGAAAGGAGTCGAGGGAGAAGTGAAGGAGAGAGATGAAGAGAGGTTTCTATCCCTGTCCCAGGTGTCCAGAGAACACATCTCATGGGATTAAGGGAAGAAGCAATCTATAAGTGTCCATCAGCACATCTCAATGACTCCTGGTTGCTAGTGATTGCAGGCAACTCTTAGTGAGTGACACTTGCTTCCTGCAAAGTGGACATGTTTGAGCTTCATAGGGATTTATTTTGAATTCCGGCTACAAGGTAGATGACTGGAAAGCAAATGGCTTAGCTTTCTGAGACTCTGTTACTTTCCTGTTTGAAGGAGTCAAGAATATTTGACACTGAAAAGGGCTCCTTGAGAGATAAATGATCTTACGTCACTGTCCTAAAGCTGCCATCTCCTTGCAAGACCCCAAACTTCTTCACATACTTCTCCCTGGAATGTGGGTACCAGACACGGTTTCTTCCTGCCTGCTGGCCCTTCTTGCTCTTGAGGACATAGTGCTAGGTTTATTTCTGTGTCCTTTGGGGGCCATTTTCTAAAAGTGTCTGTTCATTAAGCTGGGAAGTGGTTTCTTTAGGGATTTTTTTTAGCATCACAATAGGCTACAGACACAGATAGGGCCAGACCTGGTCACTGCAGAAAATCAATCATGTACTCACTGCTGCTCAGTTGGGTCAGAGAGGGCTTGCTAGCACATTCTTTTCTCTTGGGTATAGGAGAGAGGCTTATTTTGGGGAAGGTACGATTCAGTGCTGACACAATGGCTAATGAAGGACTTCATACTTCTGCATCCAGATGGAGGGCATTAAAGCCAGCCACCAGCATCTGGCCTTAAGACAGACACTTGGTGCAGAGATACATAGATACATATAGCCTATATCAGGTCCAACTCTGAGGTATGTTGTGGTGAGTTTTGTTAAATAGGCAAGTGAATAGGGAGTCCACCTGCATGCTGTTTACAGGGGAGTCAGAGGTGAGTTGAACACATGAGCAGCAAGTGGTCAGTGTGAACTGAATATGTGTGCAAATACCTGACAGACACAGACAAGGAGGGAGGGAGGGAGGGAGGGAGGGAGGGAGGGAGGGAGGGAGGGAAGGTAGGCTAAGCAGCTGCATGGAAAGGCAATGACTAGACAAACCCAGTGGTTGGGTCAATGCTTGGGATCTTAGAGCATGGAAGTTTAAGCAAGCCCTCGGAAGCAGTGCCACATACAGGAAGCAGGAGTAGCTGTCACTTTCCTGTTGCTGTGACAGAATAATATGACAAAAAATAATAAGTCATGGAAGATAGAATAAAAGATAGAAAATAAAATAAGTCATGGAAGATGGAATTTATTTTGACTTGCAGTTCCAGAATAGATCGAGTCCGTTATTCTGGGGAAAACATGGAAATAAGAGTGACTGGAAGCAGACTAATCATATTTTATCCGTACACAGGAAGCAGGAAACAGAGATGAGGGGAAGAAGCAGGGGGACAGAGAGAGGAAACAGGAAGTAGAGACCATCTATCATAGCCACAACCGTATCCCCACCCTAGTGAAATACTTCTCCAGCAATGCTGTACTTCCTAAAGTTTCTATAACCTTCCTAAACTGTGCCACAAACCAGGGATCAAATGTTCAAATATATGAGCCCATGAAGGACATTTCTCATCCAAACCACAACAAAAGGGGCATGCTGTGACCTGTCATTCAAGTGTTAGGGTTACGGATGTGCATGGAGCATGGTCTTGAGGGAACTGGAAGCTGGCTATAGTAGGGAAGTCTGCATTAATCACTTGAAAGCAAAACCATGATTCAGAGGGAATGGATTTATTTAACTTTGTATGTGCCCATCTAATGTTTCTTTCTGCTAACTCTTGTGATAAAATGGTAACATTATAAGTGCAATACTCGGTGTGTCTCTCAACTTTACAGTCACTTTCCTTCTTAATGGTTACATATTAGTTGCCAGGGAATCTTGGGAAGAATTTTACTATTTTATTAATGAAGATCCTAAGGTGTAGAAGTCTTCCCAAGGTTACAGGAGATACATGGCACTATCCTGGGGCAAGACCATGAGTCACTCAATTATGTCTGAGATATTTCTACCTGACCCTCTTCACTCTTGTAAAGAACTGGTGGCAGATGTGTCATGTGTCAGGTTCATACTCGCTCCTGTATTTATCTTTTCAACCCTTTCCTATACTCTCAATTAGATTTTCTAGATCCAAAGTGTGTTTTGCTTCCCAGGCCTAGTCATACTACATACCACACTACCCTAAAGAAGCAGAATGCACTAAGTAGGAATTTGAAGAGAAATTAGGAAAGATCTAGTAGTCTAGTATAGGGTGGGACAATGGATGATCCGTTTCTCACTCATCATCAGTGGCTGATGGCATAGCCACATCAGGCTTGGAAAGTCAAGGAAGAGAAATGACAGCGATTAAGGGATCTTAGTGAGGATTTGGGTTCAGTTGTCTATGTTTCTGTAAGGGCTTTGTAAGCTTCATTGTGCCCATCTTCAAGACTGATCATCTACTACAGAATTTAGCACTAAGTACTGACAGTAAGCAGGCATTGTAACTGAATTTCAGGTCAGCAGCATTGGAGCCTAGGCCTCAGCTTACATGGGACAGACAGTGAGTGTTAGCTGAATGAGGGTGACTTTTCTTCTTTGTTTTTAAATGATGTCTTTTACTTATTATTTGAAATTTTCATATATATATATATAATTTATCTTGATCATATCTGTTTCTCCACTTGATCTTCTTAACTCTCCCCAATACATCTCCCTCCCAACTTCATGCCCTCCTTTGTTTGTTTGTTTGTTTTTAAAATAATCCACTGAGTGCAACTATGGCTTCCTGTATGCTTGTGGAAGTGGAGCTATTCACTGGGGATGGGCAGCTTGTCAACCTTGGTCAGAGAAGCTTCTTTATACTGTGGACAGTTGTTAATGCAGACACTTATAACTATTCCAAGTTCAAAGATGAATGCGAGTATCAGCTGTAAAGAGACATCTATACAGTCTTCCCCCACATGAGGCTCAGGGCACACAGCAGAAGAGTGGGAGGAAAGACCGTAGGGCTTGGCAGACACGATAAAAGTGCTGTGAAGTGATGTTTGGAAATGACATAGCTGGTGTACACACAAACTCACAGAAGCAAGGATTACGTGCTCAAGGATCAGCTTTAATTTCTTAAAGGCCCCAAATGCAAGAGTTTTCAGTGGACATTGTGGCCAAAAACATAGTCTATTTATTAACAATATTTTAAATGCTTAAAAACATAAATGTTAATAAATCAATGTTTGCTAGAGTCAGCTTTCTGAACATAATCTCTTTAGCTCTTCGTGACCAGCTTCTCAGCTTCTGGGTTGTTACTGTGTTTGAAACAAATTGATTCATTCCAGGGATATTAAGTGGCCTGAGGAAGGACACCTGCCACTGCATTGTCAGGCTGGAGATATAAGCAGACAATCCCTTGTGTAACATGTTGATATACATTCTGAATTTTGGTTGTAAGAAACAGTCCTAGGGAAACTGCATCTCCTGATGTGTTTGTGGGATCAGGGGAGGCATAGCAAACAAACTCATTGGCAGTTAGGCACCTGAAATCTGAATGTTTGTGTAAAATGGGGTGATCTGAGACTGGAAAAGCTAGTGCCAGCAGCAGTCGGGCTTGTTGCCCATTTGGAATCAGCCTAGGAATCAAAGACTCCTCTTCCTCTCAGACAGAGGGAATTAAAATACCAGAAACTAGAATACTGACTTCCTCATGTGGGAAATGGCAAAGCCTTTTCCTCTCCTCTTTCTTCATCGTATCCAGAGAATCACATGGCAAGAACAGCAGCAAATGTAGCAGCTAGCTTATAGGGACTGAGTGTCAGGGTGGCACACATGTTATCGTCATGCTTAACACATTTAACCAGTGTACCACCATGCTGGCTCAGCTGTTCATGTATGCCACTCTGATAGGTAAACAAACATGCTCAGGGAACTTGTCATGGTTTTAAGTGCTGAAGCCGTAATTTAAAGTTGAGCCTCCAACATCCAAATCTATACTTTGTGATACTTGAAGTAATGGTCTAACTTGAGTTACCTTTAAGACCACGTCTGCCACACCCAGAAGTGCTAACCACCATGGGAAAGCCTTAAAACATCAACATCAGTGTTTATTTACTGATGATGTGGCATCTGAGTTGAAATGTGTGTGCATGTATGACTGGGATGGAGGTATGGCAAACGCAGTAGATATGTGCTCTCTCCAACATGGGGAGTAGTCTTAGTTTCCTAATCACAGTTGGGGTCATGCTCTAGTTGGAGAAGGTTTGTGATCACAGTCATGGGGCCTCTGGTCCATGTAGTGCTGGACCAGGGGAGAGGAAGAGCTCCTGTTGTGCATATTGTAATGGAGGATGAAGTCAGGTGATTGGTGAGGAGCTGATGGAGCAACAGTGAGGATTCTCTGAGATGCATAAGTCTTTTGATACATTGTGCCTGATCTTGCCAGCACTGACCTGTTAATCCTGTCTTTCTGTCTTCCTAGGGTGACCGAGGAACACCTGGGATCCCTGGCTCTCCTGGTAGTCGTGGCGACCCAGGCATTGGAGTTGCTGGTCCACCCGTGAGTCTTTATTCAGCTAACAACATTGTTCTCAGGTCACACTGCAAATCCCTGCTAGCTCCCTCAGGAGTCTACAGTATAAGTCCCTGCAGAGAAAATCCTGTTTTCAGCTGAGATGGCAGTGAGCTGTCCTTGGGTCCATTGAATGAACGTCTGTATGTCTGTGGCTGGTAAAAAATTTGTTGTACCTCTAATGAGAAGAAGAACAACAGAACTTTTGGTCTGATACATGGTTCTGATTCAAAACAATTGCAACAAATCTCGCTAATTTTGTATTTGTTCTTTCATAATTCAATTGTATATGGATATATGTACTTGGGTCATAATCCTCACTATTGTCTTCTTCATTTCTTGCTTTCTTCTACAGAATCCCTTCTTCCTAGCATGTTGTCCTCTTGTTTCCATGTCTCTTGCTTGTTGCCAACTGAATTTAATTAGGGTTCCCTGTGTGAACACAGTTGTGGGCTTATTTACTTGAGCAAGGGCACTCACTGTACAAGTGACTATCATTTGGGAGTTCGACTTCTTTCCTAGCAAGGGTCTATAGCTTCTCAGGGCTGGGTGGAATCTTATTCCTCCTGCCCTTTTTCCATGTTGCTGTGCCCATGTGTCCAGCATTGTTGCAGATAGTGACTGCTGGTATGATGTCACACAATGTTTGTAAAGGGAATAAAAAGAGCTGTGGACCAAACTTTGAGTAGCAAACTCATAGCCAATAATATTAGGCTGGGGGAAGGAGTGTGATCTGTGGAAACATTATAGTTTTGTGTGTTTCTGGACAAAAATAAGTTAATTACCCTGATTCTTCTAATTGGTAAATGTGAGAACTTAAATGGGGTCATGGTTGTAAAACAGCATCCAGAAACCATCCTCACAGTGTGGGTTTTAAGGAGTGGTTTACGTCATCTTGTTGGGACAGACTTGTAAGACCCATGGAACTTGTACTGTCTCTGAGTTATATAGGTTCTTCCAGGCCATAATCCCAATGAAGGCTCACTCTTTGTCCTCAGCCAGCCATCCTCTGTAGAAGACACACTTTGTCCAAAACCAGGACACATGACATTAAAATTTAGAATTCTTTTCAGTGATGAACTACATTTCTTTTCTTGAGAATAGAATCATGTTTTGTGTCTTCTTGCCATCACAGAAGCATGTCTTTTCTTCTCCCTGTCAGTGAGTGATAGCTTTCAGAATTTAAGGACAGTTTTCAATCTGAGCTTTTCTCTTCTCCCATCTGCTCTCTTTTATGCTAAAGGCAGAATATTGATTCAGCTTCAACTGAATATTTTTTTCTTGTCAGCCAGCCATGTCTTACTATTACTTGAGAGAAGCTCAAATACTCAGCTAAGCCTTGGAATAGCTCATGTACCCACGTATAATAATTATTTTAAGCCATGTACCCAACTTCACCCCTGCTAAACACAACCTGGCTAGAAACCAGAACAGCACATGAGACAGTCTCTGCTTTTTCTGCACTCAAGAAATGCAGAACACAATCTAAATCATCTTAAGTAATGTCATAATTTTTATTATTTAATTTTATTGAGAATATCAGAGATAGAGTTCTATATTCACATCATTCCTCCTCCAACTCCTCCTGTGTCAATCTCTCACTCCTTACCATATTCATGACCTGTTGTCTTTATTATTGTTATGTTGCGTGTGTGTGTTTGTATGTGTGTATATGTGTGTGTGTGTGCACACGTGCACACATGTACTCATGTGTGTGTGCACTCTCACGTGCGTGCATGTGTGTTTGTAAATATAGCCTACTGAAATCATCTACTGTTGCTTGTGTGTTTGTGTGTTCAGGGCTGGCTACTTGTTATTAGATAGCTATTAATAACATATATCTATTTAGGGGCGGAGTTTTATAAGATTCCTACTATTCACAATATTGTTGAGATTTTCTGACTGCAACTTGGTTACATATACAGAAGACATCCAATTCCAGTAGACAGCTTGATCTTTAGTCTTATAATCTTAACTCCCCCATTGTCTACAGCATGCTCTGATCCTTCGATGTAAGGAGTATGTTGCAGGTGTGTCACGTGAGGTGGGACATCCCGTGGTCAGATCTTCTCTGCTTTTTAACCAGTTGTGGATTCCTAGAATGTTTTTTGACTGCTACAAAAGAAGTTTCTCTAATGGGGGTTGAGAGCTACACTCATCTGTGGGTATAAGAATAAGTATTTACATGTAGTTAGAAGTTATATTGGCTCAGGATATTGGCAGTAGTGGGTTCTCCTTTGGAGTCCTTGGCCTTACTATTGTGGATAGTATTACATGCTTATTCATAATACCAACCATAAACTCTCTCTCTTTGAGCAGTTGAGCAGTCCTTACATCCAATTAGACAGCTTTTGTTTATGTCTAAAATATAAGTGGCGCTGTGGTACCTTTGGGGATATCTCAGTGTTGGGTCATTATTGTGACTCATAGGCCACGTAATACAATCCTTCATATATACTCCCAAAAAATAAAGAAATCTAATTTATTGTCTATAGTATCATATAAAGTAAAAGCTCCCTTTGCTTTTCTCTGTGGTTTTCACAATCTGTGTCAGTTTAGGCCTCTCTTCTCACACATGGTTCTCTGTTCCTCAACTCCCCAACAGGCCTGGGTGCCTCTGCACTGGAAAAGTCCTCCTCCATCCTACTGGCAATGAGGATTCCTTCAGGGTAGCAGAATCACAGGGCTCTCTGGGTCTTCCTGGTTTCCACAGCTACTGTCATAGGAGCAAATGAGTTCCCTTGGGTTGGTCTCATCTGATTTGTTTGCTTCAAAAGAAAATTTCAACTAGAATTTCTCGAGCTCAAAGCTCTGTATTACAGCCACTATATTTTTTGGGGGAGGGGGAGACTTTTTTATTTTAGTATCTAGTAACTAGAAAGAACAAAAGATAAAGAAACAGTAACCCAGACATCTTGTTTCTGAAGTCCTCCTCTCAGAAGGACTCCAAGACTCCTTTCCCTGGAGTTAGGAGTTTGATTCCTGATAGAGTTGATCCTTGGAGAAGAAAATGCCATGCTGATCGCCTTCTGTATGGTGGTCCCTTTGTGTCCTGCCCACTCCTCAAGGATATACCACATCAGGCTCATCATTACACAGCCAGGCAGGAGAGGTGGTACAATTCACCCCAAATCTAGCTAGCTAAAATCACCATGAAGTATCTTCCTGTCTAACTAATTCCACAGAAAAGTAATTTGCTGGTGGCAGCCAAGAGGCTGTAAATCAACTCTTTAGTGCATGTCTGCCACTTCGGCTTATTAAAAGCTTCCTGGTGGATGAAACCATATTGCATTACCATAAATCTCACTGGGTAGCAGCCTAGGCTGGTGATGGCCTGAGAAGCTGCATGAGAGGATCAAGGACTTGCTGCTAGCTGGTGTGGTAAGAAGAGGTAAGGAAGTGATGTGTCAAGTTACTGGGGACCATAGATCTTTGCTGAGCACTCCAGTGTCTCTGTTCCATGCTAGGGAGCAAAGGATCACATTCAATATTGTGCTCCTAGGCAAGGTAGGTTATCCTTCAACGTTAAGGTGGTTATCTCAACCATGAGTTTGATAGATGGTCTTTGAAATTCACTCTTAGAAGTTGACAAAGCGAGCTTTAGACAGAAAGAAAGCCCATGTACAGTCTGTTATCAAGCAGATGTGTATTGTAGGCAGCTGAGTCCTGCTGTTCTGACTCCTGGGTAACAACATGGTACACTTTCAGATTTTCTGCAAAAAGAACAAGGGATCTAGAGTGTTGATGTACCAATACCGTAGATAGAAATCTGCTCTCAGGAACTGGGCTTTGGGCTTGAGCCCCACATATCCCTCTGGTTAAAGAAGGCCTGGGACAGGAACATGGGAGAGCTCATGTTGTAAGCTTCCCTCTGCCTCCTTCCTCTTGAGCTCGTGCTTCACAGTTTTATCATTCGTAGGCTTTGCTTCCTCTTGGAAGAGAGCCAGGAGCTTGTCTGCTGACCCTTGCTCCATGAGCAGACAGGAGGCAGTATGGTGATACAGCGGCTTGGGGTTTTAACTTCCTGATTCTAGACCTCTTTTCATCTTCAAGTTGTCTCTGGTCTCCTTTTGGTAAGATTTAAAAGCTAAAGCATGAGCTCATTCAGACTTCAGGGAGATCAGAGTTTATGGGCTTGGTACTAGGAGCTCTGTAAGGACAAGGCTCTCTCTGACAACCACTTAACCACAGGCCATTTCCTAATCTGACCATCAATTTCCATATGGACCAAGTGCCTGAAATTTCAGCAGCACCATTGGGGGAACTGGGAGAATGGAGCCTGACGCTATTGGTGGTGATGCCCAGCACCCTACCTTTGCTTCTGTGATGTCATCAAACATCTTCAGGACTTCTCAGCTGTCAATGTCTGAAGTGTCTGGAAGTTAGCTGTGGGGATGCCTTGATGAGTCAAGATGAGCCTTAGTGTGCACATGCACCAGTGCATCCTTACAGCCCTCCAATGGCTTTATAGCTCAAAAGAGTTGCTGGAAGCTCAAAGCCAAATGATTTCAGGTGAAGAAGCATTCCTGTAGTTTCTATGGAAGAATGTAAAAATCATAGAATTGGCAGCCACTGAAGTATGGGAATCAGAGTAATGTCATCCAGCATCACCTGTCTCTAACAGACAGTCTGAGAAGCTTCAGGTTCTCCTTCTTCATTGTTAGTTAATTCTCCCAACATCCTTGAGACCTCACTGCTTGCTGGTGAGGAAGCAGACATGAAAATGTGAAGCCACTCACCTCAAGCCATGTAGAGGACATAGGAAGCTGGCCTTGAACTCTCTGTACTAAGAACAGATGCCTCAGTGGCTTGTCTAGCAGGAGGACAGAAGGGATGTGTCCACTTCACAGACCCAGTATTCAGTGCTTCTTGTGTCTTTTACGACCATTATTGTTCCCAATCTTTACTCTGGATGGCAGCACTGTGGTGAGCCTCTGATTTGGGGTGACTGAGGCACCTGGTTGTTTCATGACATGCTGGAGACCTAA